ATTTCCTGTATTGTAAAATATACTGATCAATACATGGGGAAACTAAATGTGCATATATACTATGTCATGACTGTAGATTCTGCAGACACTGGCTGATAGCAGCATGAGTATGATTACTTGTCATGTAATATAGTGTTTTTCACCCCTATTTAGTAACTTACATATTCCAAATATTCTGCCAATGAGGCCAAGGTTGGTAACTGGCATTCCATATTTTCCACTATACAGTTAGACCAATATGTTTTAAAATAATGGAAAAGAATAATGTGTACTGGTTATTGTGCTATGAACCAGTGTTGTAATCTTACAGCAAATAAAAACTAAGAATTTCATATTTCAACAAAATTCCATGTCATGTAGAATCACATGCCTATGCCATTGATTAAGTTTAACTTTTCATTGGAAAGCATGTTTTTTCATGGAAACTGGAGTAGTAGGGTAACCTAGTGGTTAAACTGTTGACACTCGTCACACTGAAGGCCCGGGTTTGATTCCCCACATGTGTGCAAAGTGTGAAGCCCATTGCTGCTCTTCCCAGGATTATGTTGCTGGAATATTGCTAAAAGCAGTGTAAAACCCAACTCTCTCACTTGGAAACCTTTGCTATATACACTGAAAATCTAATCTCCTACATCCATCGTTGTATATTTACTGTCAAATCAATATCATGGCTAAAAGCAGAAATCTTCCAAACCATTCAATTTGTGCTTGCTTTATCCACACTTAAAAAACAATAAACAAGTTTTAGAACTATTCTGCAAGTTTATTCCAAAGACATAATTACTCATAACATATCAAACATTCTTTGCATTTCCCAGATGCTAAACCTGAAAAAATACTGTAACAGTATCATCTGGAATACAAATGTTCTTTCATGGTCACTCATCTAAATTCTCACTGAATTATCTGAGAGTCCCAAGATGTCACAAGACTTTCCAAAACACCTTGCTGGTTACAAGCATTTCCTGTTCCAGCAAGTGTCCAAAGGATGATGTGTAGGGCTTTAATATGTTTTATAACTTAACTGTACATGCAACATTTCAATGACTTGCTGTTTCTTCATTGCAATGTATATTGCTTGAAAAGAGATCTTATATTAAAAGAAATCTGAAGATCTGTTTCAGTTTGTGTTGCTCTTGATGTCAATGGTAATTGTGGTGATAAAGAAATCTATTCCTCCTTCTTTCTCCTCTTAAAGATGTGCATCTGTTCCAACTGAAAAAAATACATAACACACGTTAGACCAAGTATGATATACTTAATAAAATGTAAACACTAAAACAGTTCCTTACAATGTTGACATCAAGATATTATTGATAAATTAAGCATGTGGATGTTATGTTTAACTGAACATGCTGCACCATAACCAAATGCTAAATGGGGTTGTAATAATATATTAATCAAGCTCATATTACAGAATACATTTGTGAGAGACACCTATTCAGAGCTATTGGTATCAATCAAAGTGTGGATATAATCATCATTGTTTACGCACTATTAAATTATTATTTAATTCATTACATTTATTTTTTTAGAATTACACCTGGTTTTTCATTGCACATTAAGTTATCTTCTGGATAATTCCAACTGCAAGATACTTTATTTATTAACAGTTTTTTTGATACACATGCATTATACCGGATACCTGCCTGTCATATTTTATTAGGTCCCCTCTCCGGGGGACAATAAAATCCCACTGTAAGATATCAAATGCAATCAAACGATTAACTAATCTGCACACATGTCAACTCCACCCTTATTGTGCGTGCCATGCTTAAACAATACCAGCCTTTAAATGAAAACAAAGAAATCCATGTAACAAACTTACCTCGACTAATGAATGGGCCAGCCTGAAGATGACGCTGTGACAACTCTGCATCTGTTTGGCAAATATTCACGTGCTGTTCATGCAACATTGCCTTAGTGCTTTAGCAGTCCATAGTCTGTTACATGGCATAGGTTTATGATTCACACAGCCAGTGTCGAGTATGATTATCCACGGAATACCCCATGTAACAGTGTTATCGCCATTGCAGAAAAACGTTGTTTGTCACCGGAAGTACTAAACAACGTAATCTCTCGCGAAGTGCCGTGACCTACTTACGGGCCCTATTGGTCCAGAGGTTTTAGGGATGATGGTAAAACACAAGCTGAACACAAGAAATCCAGCTCCCTTGAATAATACAGGGAAGTTTCATCATCGTCAGTCTTCTAATATCAAGTACCATGTATTACCATGTGAAAAAAGTCTACTCCAGGAGCAAGGTCAGAGAATTGTAATTGTTCAACCCAAATGATAGATGATTACTTGTTATCTTTGTGATGTATAAGTTTGTGTCATTACTACAAGACCAATATTTACAGTATAGTCTGGATTGAAGGCTCCCACATTCAATGCTTCTTTGTCTGACAAACCAGAGTCAGGAACATAGTTCAGATTAAACCTCGGCAAAACTGTACTTATCCAGGAATTCTTTCAGATTATTCCCAGTAACTTCACAAGCTTTTGAAAGCCTATTCCAAAATGATGAAACAGTCCAGGAAACTATCATTAAGCCATTGTTACTTTAAGTGCTTGATAGGTCCATGAACAGTGTCACAAAAACAAGCTTGATGTCAAAAGGACTGAAACGTAAGCACTGCTGAAGTGACTCCCTCACAGCAAACAACAACAAATGAATGCCTTCATCCCAATCCTACTCAGCCTTAAAAGAGAGTACTCATCATACTATTTGGAGTCTCTCTTCCTGAGCTCCATGAGATTTAGGACGATATGTGTTTTGCCTGAACAATGCATAGCCTGTTGGAAAACACCTTGATCTGTCTAAATAGTCTTAAGCAAACCAAACATACTGAAGAACTTTACTAAAGCCTTAATAATGACCTGAGCCATAATTTTCCATAATGGAATAACCTCTGGAAACCTTATCAAAGTTAGTCTGTACTGATTGCCTGACTCAGTTTTTGACTCAGCAATGATGAAGATTGTTAACCCAGCTGTGTACACTCTGGCTGGTCACTGATTTTGTTACAAGTTTTGTTCACATCCAAATGAGATACCAAAGGAGTTTCATGTCCCAAGCTCAAATAGGACTTTTGGAAGATCAATCTGATAAAAAAGCTTCATTCATTATCAGCAGGTACATATGGTGGCTTCCATTTCCTCATCAAAACACAATCCTTGAAAAAAATAGGAAATGGGAACATAGTCAAAGAGAGTGCCGACTGGCAATAACCAACTGCTCCCTGTCCAGAACTGGTTCCTCAACAGCCAAAAACAAATCATTCCCAATAAGCAAGTCTACACCTTTGATAGGGAGAGTTAAACCAGTCCAGACACTAAGTCATTCTTTCACTGGAGAGGCGCACCGTCATAACCCCCTAACAAAACATCAGAATGGGCTGATGACTCCTCAGATGACTCTCCCTAGCAAACTCAATAAATGTAGTACCATCACGTTTCTTTGCAAAGGCAAACATTAGCCTTTAAGCTTAAGAAACAAATTCATAAGCCTTCAAAATGGCAGATTTTACACTGATAATCAGAGCTCCTATCAACAGATAAAGCGAATACAATTCCTTAACTTTTCCCAAAAATGCACTTTGCAACAACATGGTCAACTGATTCTCAGGCCATTTCAAATTGTTAGCTACCTTTTCAAAATGTTGGTAACATCAAAGTGTGCTGACATGTACCACCCAATACAATTTCATGAAACTTGGCAGTCTTGGTCTTAGCATTTTCTGCTTATTTCTTATTGTTCAAAGGCCAGCTATTCATGTACTAGATCCAATACTATCAATCAATGTGTAGTGTCATCATTGTGCCAAGTTACAGTTAACATGTGCAGTGATTTGGAGAAGAAGATGTTGACTGATGATACATGTGAGACAATGATGAAATAAATCATCTTGATATTATAAAACCACCGAACATTGTACTTTGTTTTCATTTTTTTAAGAAGCATTGTAAGTAGTGCTAGTATTGGCATACAACCAGTGATACGATACATCACGATACTAAAATGTTCGTCACGACGATATATTGCCAAAGAATTGTGCACTGAAGCTGCGATACGATACAAATCTCGATATAAGGGTGGCGATACAATATGTATCACAATTCTAAAATCTTAAATTCTAACACCAACTATAAAACACCTTAAGATCAAAACAAAACCATTTTAAAATATTTCATCAAATTCCGCCTGCTTTTTTCAATGTTCACTTGGAAATGAGATAATTAAAGTTATACACAGAATTTGTGAATGTTAATAACATGCGAGAGCTCGGCCTGACACAGTTCGTGATACATGAATTTCTTAGAATACGTTTACCATTGAAGGGAAAGGAAGTCAGCACATATTTTAGTCATCAAACAAAAGTAAGTCTTTTTTCTTCACAGATATCGCAATTCGGCAATGTACAAAGTTAAACATTGATGTATCGTGGCCCATTTGAAGTATCCAGGGCTCTAGATAAGGGCCGTATCGGCATATGTACAGATAGAAAATATGCACGATACGATAGGAAATAATATAGAAAACGTAGCAGACACGCATCACAGCAATGGTGTACGGTCTTAAAATCATTTACAGACGTATTTATCTGAAAAAGTATTGTTTTATTGTTTATTGACCTGTTTACACATGAGTAGCAATGTTGTGGTGCATATATGAAACGAAACACAAGATTACTGATATGCCATTAAATTCCATTCAGTACTCTAAAAGTTTTTCCAGTACTCCTATGTTGAAAACATAAGCAGTACGTCCTGATGCTGAAAAATTATCTGGAGCCCTGGTATCGTATCGGGATATACGACAATGTAAAATTTTGTATCGATTCACTGTATCGGCGGCAAATAGATTGATTCATTGATGCGTATCGATGAATCATCACACCACTAATTGTAAGTAGTCCCATAAAAAAACTGTAAGTGTATTCACCAGACATTTATGGGTACGACTTTTACTTTAACAAAACAAAAAAAAGTTTACCATCATAAAGCTTTTCAAGGTACTCTTTATCAGCAAACAGTTCCCCTAGCAATTCCTTGGTAGTTTTAGAGTTGGAAGAACTCTGTGGACGTTTGCGTTCTTTCTTGTCCTCTTTCTTCTGTTGAGGCTTGGAGTAACCACGACTTTGCTGCTGCTGTTTCTGCTTCTGTGAATTTGTACAGAGAAATTCCTGTATACAATCAGTGACCAGCCAGAGTGTACACAGCTGGGTTATATTTATTCCAGGCAACATCTACGTTCCTTGTCACCATGAACATGTAACAACCATTCCATGACTGTCATGATGATTATGTTATACTGACCTATTCAGGACAGCCAGTTTCAGACAATTCCAAAGGCCAGTGACTATGTAGCTAAGACATGTATGACTTCATTGCAATTCCTTATATGATGTTAACATACAGTCTTAATCCTCATTAAATGTTTCTACTGTATGTATTCTATCTTCCATATTTTTCACTACTCCCTTCAGCATATTGTACATCCTTGGAAGAAAGAAATGTCTTTTCTCCACTCAGCACATGCACTGAAATGTCTTGGATAACATGTGGCATTCTCAACAACTGATAAGGATGCATTGTTTTAAAATAAGGACATCTGTTTTAAAATCTTGAGCTGGTATTAAAAGGTAAGGTATTTAAAGTAATTATGACTGTCCCAGTTCACCTTTTCACAGAACGGAAAAGTCTTTACCACTCCATGTCCAGACAGTAGAGAAATGTTTATCACAGATCATGTCAATACACAATGGGAAACATCAGTATCAGGTTACAAATGAATTCAATTCTGTACTTAGAAATATTCTAGCTGAATCATGTCAACCTGTGAATACAACTGCATTCTAGACTAAGGAACTAGTATCTGTTATCACAAGAATTGATTCTTGCTGCTTGATTATAATGACACACAATCAAGACTTTTTGCTAAAACAAGGGGATGTGCACTATTCTAGTCACAAACCAATATACCCCATACATTAGGGACTGACACATTCTCTCCCCCAGCATCAGTTAACGAAGAACATGTATTTCCCGTGAATCACATCATTGAACATATAGTATCTACAGTTTGTTACCGATATATACATATATATCGTTCCAAGAATAGTGAATTTACTTTCTTTGAAATAATGTTTAGGCATGTTACTCACTTACAGTCACTTCAAAAAGCTAAGTCACTGAAGCACACATCTAAAATCACTAAGGTAGCTTAACAACATGAATGAGATATTAGCCATACATTCAGAATAAATGAAATGTCATACTTCTGATGTGAACCAATAACTTCCTTTATAACTGAAAATTCAGAGATCAATTTTAAGCATGGGATCTTTATCATAAACTTCATGTTTAAATCTGAAGATTTAGTTGGCCCTAGATTTATAACACTTATAATAGCAACAGACCCCATTAATTTTGAGCACTGTTATTTTAACATTGGTTCACTTGTTGAGAAGATTTAGTAATGGAAGTAATACTTCTTTGTTCTTAAACAGAATTATGACAACACAAAGGGTTAGCTACGTAACAACAGGAGCAGTTATGTTTCATTATGACAGTGAGAGGAACTGTTTGTTACTGGTAACTACATGACACTATGACAGTGAGAGGAACTGTTTGTTACTGGTAACTACATTACATTATGACAGTGAGAGGAACTGTTTGTTACTGGTAACTACATTACATTATGACAGTGAGAGGAACTGTTTGTTACTGGTAACTACATTACATTATGACAGTGAGAGGAACTGTTTGTTACTGGTAACTACATTACATTATGACAGTGAGAGGAACTGTTTGTTACTGGTAACTACATTACATTATGACAGTGAGAGGAACTGTTTGTTACTAGTAACTACATTACATTATGACAGTGAGAGGAACTGTTTGTTACTGGTAACTACATTACTGGTAACTATGACAGTATGAGTGACAGGAACTGTTTGTTACTGGTAACTACATTACATTATGACAGTGAGGAGGAACTGTTTGTTACTGGTAACTACATTACATTATGACAGTGAGAGGAACTGTTTGTTACTGGTAACTACATTACATTATGACAGAGGAACTGTTGGTTACTGGTAACTACATTACATTATGACAGTGAGAGGAACTGTTTGTTACTGGTAACTACATTACATTATGACAGTGAGAGGAACTGTTTGTTACTGGTAACTACATTACATTATGACAGTGAGAGGAACTGTTTGTTACTGGTAACTACATTACATTATGACAGTGAGAGGAACTGTTTGTTACTGGTAACTACATTACATTATGACAGTGAGAGGAACTGTTTGTTACTGGTAACTACATACACTACTGTTTGTTACTGGTAACTACATTACATTATGACAGTGATGAGGAACTGTTACTGGTGACAGTGAGAGGAACTGGTAACTACATTACATATGACATTATGACAGTGAGAGGAACTGTTTGTTACTGTTGAGAGGAACTGTTTGTTACTGGTAACTACTGTTACTGGTAACTACATTACATTATGACAGTGAGAGGAACTGTTTGTTACTGGTAACTACATTACATTATGACAGTGAGAGGAACTGTTTGTTACTGGTAACTACATTACATTATGACAGTGAGAGGAACTGTTTGTTACTGGTAACTACATTACATTATGACAGTGAGAGGAACTGTTTGTTACTGGTAACTACATTACATTATGACAGTGAGGAGGAACTGTTTGTTACTGTTTGACTGGTAACTACATGACATTAACAGTGAGAGGAACTGTTTGTTACTGGTAACTACATTACATTATGACAGTGAGAGGAACTGTTTGTTACTGGTAACTACATTACATTATGACAGTGAGAGGAACTGTTTGTTACTGGTAACTACATTACATTATGACAGTGAGAGGAACTGTTTGTTACTGGTAACTACATTACATTATGACAGTGAGAGGAACTGTTTGTTACTGGTAACTACATTACATTATGACAGTGAGAGGAACTGTTTGTTACTGGTAACTACATTACATTATGACAGTGAGAGGAACTGTTTGTTACTGGTAACTACATTACATTATGACAGTGAGAGGAACTGTTTGTTACTGGTAACTACATTACATTATGACAGTGAGAGGAACTGTTTGTTGTTATGACAGTTACTGGTAACTACATTACATTATGACAGTGAGAGGAACTGTTTGTTACTGGTAACTACATTACATTATGACAGTGAGAGGAACTGTTTGTTACTGGTAACTACATTACATTATGACAGTGAGAGGAACTGTTTGTTACTGGTAACTACATTACATTATGACAGTGAGAGGAACTGTTTGTTACTGGTAACTACATTACATTATGACAGTGAGAGGAACTGTTTGTTACTGGTAACTACATTACATTATGACAGTGAGAGGAACTGTTTGTTACTGGTAACTACATTACATTATGACAGTGAGAGGAACTGTTTGTTACTGGTAACTACATTACATTATGACAGTGAGAGGAACTGTTTGTTACTGGTAACTACATTACATTATGACAGTGAGAGGAACTGTTTGTTACTGGTAACTACATTACATTATGACAGTGAGAGGAACTGTTTGTTACTGGTAACTACATTACATTATGACAGTGAGAGGAACTGTTTGTTACTGGTAACTACATTACATTATGACAGTGAGAGGAACTGTTTGTTACTGGTAACTACATTACATTATGACAGTGACAGGAACTGTTTGTTACTGGTAACTACATTACATTATGACAGTGAGAGGAACTGTTTGTTACTGGTAACTACATTACATTATGACAGTGAGAGGAACTGTTTGTTACTGGTAACTACATTACATTATGACAGTGAGAGGAACTGTTTGTTACAAGTAACTACATTACATTATGACAGTGAGAGGAACTGTTTGTTTACTGGTAACTACTGTTTGTTACAGGTAACTACATTACATTTTGTGACAGTGAGAGGAACTGTTGGTTACTGGTAACTACATTATTATGACAGTGAGAGGAACTGTTTGTTACTGGTAACTACATTACATTATGACAGTGAGAGGAACTGTTTGTTACTGGTAACTACATTACATTATGACAGTGAGAGGAACTGTTTGTTACTGGTAACTACATTACATTATGACAGTGAGAGGAACTGTTTGTTACTGGTAACTACATTACATTATGACAGTGAGAGGAACTGTTTGTTACTGGTAACTACATTACATTATGACAGTGAGAGGAACTGTTTGTTACTGGTAACTACATTACATTATGACAGTGAGAGGAACTGTTTGTTACTGGTAACTACATTACATTATGACAGTGAGAGGAACTGTTTGTTACTGGTAACTACATTACATTATGACAGTGAGAGGAACTGTTTGTTACTGGTAACTACATTACATTATGACAGTGAGAGGAACTGTTTGTTACTGGTAACTACATTACATTATGACAGTGAGAGTGAGAGGAACTACATTGTGACAGTGGTAACTACATTACATTATGACAGTGAGAGGAACTGTTTGTTACTGGTAACTACATTACATTATGACAGTGAGAGGAACTGTTTGTTACTGGTAACTACATTACATTATGACAGTGAGAGGAACTGTTTGTTACTGGTAACTACATTACATTATGACAGTGAGAGGAACTGTTTGTTACTGGTAACTACATTACATTATGACAGTGAGAGGAACTGTTTGTTACTGGTAACTACATTACATTATGACAGTGAGAGGAACTGTTTGTTACTGGTAACTACATTACATTATGACAGTGAGAGGAACTGTTTGTTACTGGTAACTACATTACATTATGACAGTGAGAGGAACTGTTTGTTACTGGTAACTACATTACATTATGACAGTGAGAGGAACTGTTTGTTACTGGTAACTACATTACATTATGACAGTGAGTGAGGAACTGTTTGTTACTGGTAACTACATTACATTATGACAGTGAGAGGAACTGTTTGTTACTGGTAACTACATTACATTATGACAGTGAGAGGAACTGTTTGTTACTGGTAACTACATACATTACATTATGACAGTGAGAGGAACTGTTTGTTACTGGTAACTACATTACATTATGACAGTGAGAGGAACTGTTTGTTACTGGTAACTACATTACATTATGACAGTGAGAGGAACTGTTTGTTACTGGTAACTACATTACATTATGACAGTGAGAGGAACTGTTTGTTACTGGTAACTACATTACATTATGACAGTGAGAGGAACTGTTTGTTACTGGTAACTACATTACATTATGACAGTGAGAGGAACTGTTTGTTACTGGTAACTACATTACATTATGACAGTGAGAGGAACTGTTTGTTACTGGTAACTACATTACATTATGACACTGTTTGTTACTGGTAACTACATTACATTATGACAGTGAGAGGAACTGTTTGTTACTGGTAACTACATTACATTATGACAGTGAGAGGAACTGTTTGTTACTGGTAACTACATTACATTATGACAGTGAGAGGAACTGTTTGTTACTGGTAACTACATTACATTATGACAGTGAGAGGAACTGTTTGTTACTGGTAACTACATTACATTATGACAGTGAGAGGAACTGTTTGTTACTGGTAACTACATTACATTATGACAGTGAGAGGAACTGTTTGTTACTGGTAACTACATTACATTATGACAGTGAGAGGAACTGTTTGTTACTGGTAACTACATTACATTATGACAGTGAGAGGAACTGTTTGTTACTGGTAACTACATTACATTATGACAGTGAGAGGAACTGTTTGTTACTGGTAACTACATTACATTATGACAGTGAGAGGAACTGTTTGTTACTGGTAACTACATTACATTATGACAGTGAGAGGAACTGTTTGTTACTGGTAACTACATTACATTATGACAGTGAGAGGAACTGTTTGTTACTGGTAACTACATTACATTATGACAGTGAGAGGAACTGTTTGTTACTGGTAACTACATTACATTATGACAGTTACTGGAGGAACTGTTTGTTACTGGTAACTACATTACATTATGACAGTGAGAGGAACTGTTTGTTACTGGTAACTACATTACATTATGACAGTGAGAGGAACTGTTTGTTACTGGTAACTACATTACATTATGACAGTGAGAGGAACTGTTTGTTACTGGTAACTACATTACATTATGACAGTGAGAGGAACTGTTTGTTACTGGTAACTACATTACATTATGACAGTGAGAGGAACTGTTTGTTACTGGTAACTACATTACATTATGACAGTGATGAGGAACTGTTTGTTACTGGTAACTACATTACATTATGACAGTGAGAGGAACTGTTTGTTACTGGTAACTACATTACATTATGACAGTGAGAGGAACTGTTTGTTACTGGTAACTACATTATTATGACAGTGAGAGGAACTGTTTGTTACTGGTAACTACATTACATTATGACAGTGAGAGGAACTGTTTGTTACTGGTAACTACATTACATTATACATTACAGTATGACAGGAACTGTTTGTTACTGGTAACTACATTACATTATGACAGTGAGAGGAACTGTTTTGTTACTGGTAACTACATTACATTATGACAGTGAGAGGAACTGTTTGTTACTGGTAACTACATTACATTATGACAGTGAGAGGAACTGTTTGTTACTGGTAACTATTATGACAGTGAGGAACTGTTTGTTACTGGTAACTACATTATGACAGTGAGAGGAACTGTTTGTTACTGGTAACTACATTACATTATGACAGTGAGAGGAACTGTTTGTTACTGGTAACTACATTACATTATGACAGTGAGGAGGAACTGTTATGTTACTGGTAACTACATTACATTATGACAGTGAGAGGAACTGTTTGTTACTGGTAACTACATTACATTATGACAGTGAGAGGAACTGTTTGTTACTGGTAACTACATTACATTATGACAGTGAGAGGAACTGTTTGTTACTGGTAACTACATTACATTATGACAGTGAGAGGAACTGTTTGTTACTGGTAACTACATTACATTATGACAGTGAGAGGAACTGTTTGTTACTGGTAACTACATTACATTATGACAGTGAGAGGAACTGTTTGTTACTGGTAACTACATTACATTATGACAGTGAGAGGAACTGTTTGTTTGGTAACTACATTACATTATGACAGTGAGGGAACTACATTACATTACATTATGACAGTGAGAGGAACTGTTTGTTACTGGTAACTACATTACATTATGACAGTGAGAGGAACTGTTTGTTACTGGTAACTACATTACATTATGACAGTGAGAGGAACTGTTTGTTATGGTAACTACATTACATTTCCTAGAAATAGAGGAAGCAGCAGTTTGTGAAGCACAGCGCACAAGGAGAGTCCATTAGCTGCCACCAGCCATGTACATTACCTTTAGCTTCTCCTCCTGTCAAAATAATCATACATGTAGGAACATTACGAAACACATCATTACATGAATCAGGGGCACAGAATCTTTGTTGATTCTGTATTCCCAACATTAAGCGCCCTGCTCAAATAAATGCCCCCTGAACAACTTACAGGCCAATTTGTAATCTGCAAGCACCTCCGAGTAAGACTGAAACAATTTTATGACAATTCATATTGTATGTGTACTATGTGCACCACTACATGTGCCATGTCTCCCATCCTGTCCCAGAAAGGGGTAAAGGTTAGTGCTTATTGTAGGCCATGGCATTCTGTGAATGTTGTGCTTCTGAACACTGATGATTACTGCACAGTTTTCAATGACATTGTTGTCCTGGGAGACAAATGTTGACACACATGCCTTGCAATCCTGACAGTAAAGGTTGTCAATAATCTGTCCCAATAGTGCTGTCAAGTCACCCTTCCTTGCCCAACATGGTGTAGTGATGCCACCAATACCACAACCAATCTACCATCCAGGAGTGTTGGCAGACACTAGCTCCATCCATATTTTGATATAGTTACCAGACACAACCATTGCTTGTCCAAGAAGTGCAACGTGAAAAAGAACTCATTCGACAACATTTTGTGATCCACAACCAAGTTTCAACATTGTGTACACTATTGTCATCTGTTGGCGAGAGGGTGATTTGTAAGAGTGGAGGAGTGTGTGGAGACTAGCTGCATGTAGACTAATCATCTTACTCTTCACTTGTTCTCCAGTAAACTTGTGCATTAATTTGATTTCAAATTCAAAATATATGCATATCATAACCAATCTTGGATCTGACATCCTTGATCAGTTCATTGACTTCCGAATATCAAGTTAGTGGGTCTATAGTGGGTCCAGATGTTTTCTTTCCTGTCAGTCACACCCCATAACTTCATGTCCCCTTTATATGGTGTATGTTGCTTGTACTGCAACAAATTCCTCAGTTGGTCTGCAAAAAGTGCCCATGCCATCACAAAAAAAGACTAGTCAAGAAATGTCCTACTTTGATTTTAAATTTAGGAAGAAACAGTCATTCCTTGAATACTCCTTGGTGCAGTAAGGGGGAGGTGGGGTAGCCTAGTGGTTAAGCCGTTCGATCATCAAACTGAAGACACGGGTTCGATTCCCCACATGGGCACAATGTGTGAAGCCCATTTCTGGTGTCTCCCGTCGTGGAATATCGCTAAAAGCGGCATAAATCCAAACTCACTCACTCACTGGTTCAGTACGATGAAAAGTTTGGAAGTCTTTATATTTAGCATGCTATGCATTTATACATATCATATGTAATTAAATTATATGCAAGCCAACTTGGTGACCTTGTGCTCTTTGCCTGTCAGGTAGATCTGATTTGCAATCTTCTTGGGCATTGGGCATTGGGCATTGGGCATTGGGCATTGGGCATTGGGCCCTGCCCTGCCCTTCCCTGCCCTGCCCTGCCCTGCCCTGCCCTGCCCTGCCCTGCCCTGCCCTGCCCTGCCCTGCCCTGCCCTGCCCTGCCCTGCCCTGCCCTGCCCTGCCCTGCCCTGCCCTGCCCTGCCCTGCCCTGCCCTGCCCTGCCCTGCCCTGAAACTGTTTCCTTACCTCCTCCTGTTTGAAGAAGTATGACAAGTCTCCTGTCGTCTCCAGCTTTACAGACTCTGGGGCTGAAACAAATAGGCTAGTCTTAATTTTGTATTATTCTAACAGGCATAAAATCAACCATTTTTATATTTGTATGAATCAGGTTAATTTATGTTATAAAGGTGTATTGGGTATTCAAAAGACTACTGCTTGTTTACAACAAGCGTTATAATAAGTCGTTTGTCTGTCTATCTCCATCTTAGGTACATAACTCTCATGACTTAATCAGGTTATAGGGTCAGTTCATTCTTGTTCTAAGGGTAGTCAAGCTATTTCATTTTGATCATAATTGTCTTACTGTCTTGATTAAAGGACTGAAGCCTAGTTCTTTGTCTTGACTGGTGATTTTGAATATCTATGTCACCAGCCATCTCAACACCTCTCAGCACTGGTCACAATCACTGCACCACAGTACAGATCAGTTCACAGGTTAGTTAATATTCTTACTTACTAAACTAAGACTATTGTCTGGAATATATTAATTGTATCTATTAAATACCTTTAAGTAATCTAATGTGTGATATTGTAAATAGTTCGAGATTGATGAGCATGAATGTGTTTGATCTCATTGTAATGGCTGTGTACTATTTTAGTCTAAATACACAATGTTGGTAAAATCTAAGTATTTTAGATATTTACATCCTTACCTCTTATCATCTTATATGCATTCTTGCCTTACTCTCCGAAAACAGACTGCAGAAGTCGAGATCGAAAGCTTGCTAACCTATAACTCGGGAAGGTGGTTCGATTGAAGACATCCGGGTGACCGGTAAGGTCACAGCAGTCTATCACGTGGCCACATGAACAAGTCATTCCTTTCGCATCGAACAACAAGGTAGAACGATGACGTGGGGAGGCAGCGAAGACTCGGGTGGGCTTCAGACTTGATGATAAGAGGTAAGTGTGTAAATATCTAAAATACTTAGATTTTACCAAATTCTTTACTTACCTCTTATCATCTTATATGCATCTTATCCGACAGTCCTGGAAGGTGGGACGTTCTAACCGTTGTTCACCCAAATAGACCAACAAATCAGACGTAAGGAACAGTGAATGCTTGGGGGTCTGCAAGCAAAACAAAGACCATGCAAGTGACGCACGTAAAGGGAACAATAGGTGAGGCACTCCCACGATTGTCCCTGTACAAAAGTCACAAAGCCTCCAAGGGAAGAGAACAACGCCTCGTACCTTAGTGAGTAGAAGGACGTGTCAGCTGTTGAGCAACCACAAGAGGACCAAAACTCTGAAGTCCTTCCACATCTTCAACTGCCACGTCTCGAAGATAATGGCTGGCAAAAACATGTTAGACTTCCAAAAACAGCCCTCCATAATTGTAGGAATTGAACAATTCCTATGAAGAGCCATTGTGGAAGCCAAAGCCCAAATTTCATGCGGGTTATGCACCTTAGGAGGAGGTAACCCGGCTGCCCCGTAGGCATTGATGATTGTCGTCCGCAACCAGAGGACCACGGTGTTCTTGTTGACCTCCCCTTTGGAGCCTGTCGATAAAGGGAGGAACAACCGTTTTCTTGTCCTTCGTCTAGGAGCTGATCTAGAGATGTATTCTCTTAGAGCTCTCACGGGACAAAGGGAAAGCTTGTCTGTGTCCTCTGCCCCTAACACAGAGGAGAGAGGTGGAATGGTTAATCTCCGATCTGGTTGTCCCGGCAACTGATTCTTAGCCACAAAGTCCCATAAGAGACCCAAGTGGACAGCACCATGACGAGATTGCTCAAAGTGGATTCTCGTGACGTCTAGGGCGTGAATCTCGCTAACCCTCGCGGCTGTGGCCAAAGCCAGAAGAAAGACCGTCTTCCTGGACAACAGATCAAAAGACGCCTGGCATAAAGGGTCATACGGGGGACCTCGCAAGTGTTGTAGAACAATGTTGAGGTCCCAAGCCGGCGGGCGAAACTTCACTTTCTGGTCCTCAAGTTTGAAAGCTTTCAACATAGCCTGCAACTTGGGGATCTTGGATACTCGCACCTCCGTTTTTACTGCCAGAACAGAGTTGATGGCCGAGAGGTAAGTCGGGATGGTGCCTCCTTTGAGATGACAAGAATTCCGGAGATGAAGGAGGAAGTCCGCCAAAAATTGAGAGGAGGCCGTCAACGGTCGCACAGAACAAGCGGAACAGAACCGTTCAAAGGTAACCCATTTGTCATCATAAAGACCCCTCGTCGAAACTTGATGAGCCCTCGAGATGATTCTGGACGCATCGTCCGAATAACCTTTTGCCCTCAAGGTCCTCTGTAAATGACCCAAACGCAGAGATTGAACCTCTCTGGGTCTGGGTGAAGTTGTCTGCTGTGAGGGTGAAGCAAAAGATTTCTCCACTCGGGCAGACGAACTGGGTTTGCGTTGGTGAGACGCCTTAGCTCGGGGAACCAACCCCTCGCCGGCCACCAAGGCGCGATCAAAAGCAGTTTCAGACGAGTAGTTTGTCTTATTTTCACAACGACTTCCAGCAGAAGCACTGGAGGCGAGAAGGCGTAGGCGTCGAGACTTTCCCAAGACAGAGACAGAGCGTCTACTGCCCACGCGGCTGGATCCGGGATCGGAGACACATAAACCGGAAGTTGACTGTTCAGGCTTGTGGCGAACAAGTCTAACATGGGCCTGTACTGGGACTGGCAAACGAGAGCGAACGCCTCAGGATGAAGCATCCATTCGGTGGGTGATGGTTTGCCGGGCCTGGATAGTGCGTCTGCCAGGACATTTTTGCAACCGGGAATGTGTCTTGCTCGAACTGTGATGAGAGCCTGATCCAGAATCTCGAATAGCCGGAACGAATGATTGAGAAGACGTCGGGAACCCGTCGTCCCCTGATTGCGTTTCACCCAAACCACTGTTGTGTTGTCCGATACAATGAGTAAGTTGGCTCCTGTGAGGCGATCTCGCCAATGAGATACTGCCAGGATCACAGCTTGAAATTCCAAGCTGTTGATGTGCCAGGACTGATGTTCTGTTGAACACAGTCCCGAGACCGTGTGGCCGTCCAGGTGTGCTCCCCACCCCTGCAGTGAGGCGTCCACAAAGAGCTCCTGGTTTGGGGAGAATTCGCTCAAACAGACTCCGTCGCAGACGTATGATGGGTGAGTCCACCAACGAAGGTACTGGTGCAGATGCCACGGCAGGGGAATGCTGGACCTGAGATTGTCGGCTTCTATGAACGGTTTCAAAAACCTCTGAATAGGCCGAAGCATGAGCCTCCCCCTGCCCGTGAGGTCCTGTGCCGATGTCAATAGACCTAGAATGCCCTGCCAATCCCTCAACTCGAATGCCTGGGTCAACCCCTTGTGGACGCAGGCCAATATCTTCACCCACCTGTCGGGTGGGATTCTGAGCTTGTCTTGATCAGTGAGGAAAAGTCCTCCTATGAAGATGAGTCTCTGAGACGGCTCCAGATGCGACTTCTCCCAATTGATCAACCAACCCAGTTGAAGGAATAATCGGAAAGCGTATTCCTTCTGTCTGACAAGCCTTTGACGATCCCAGTTGTTCATTAGACAATCATCTATGTAAGGGCTGAACTCCATCCCTCATAGATGAAGGAACCGTGTAATCGGCATCGTGATGCGTGTGAACAGCCACGGGGCCGAAAAAAATTCCAAACAGGAAATGCTGGCCGTTGAAGTAAAACCGGAGGTACTTCCTGTGAGGCTTGAAAATAGGTATGTGCAGGTACGCATCCTGTATATCCAGGCTGATAAGCCAGTCCCCTGGAGAGATCTTGGTTCGAAGTTGGTCCAACGAAACCAGTCGAAAATGAGGAGGATCCAATAGGTAATGGTCGTTGAACACCGCCATATTGTGGATCATCCGCATTTTGGTGGTGTTTTTCTTTGGGATCAGGAAGATCGGCGAGTAAAACCCGAGGTTGTTGTTTGGTTCCTGTACCAGTTCCTGTACCTTTTGTCGAGCAAAATCTGAATGTTTTCTGCTATTTGCTGATGTTTGGCCGCAGAATAAACGCTTGACCGAGGCAGGTTGGTCAGAGGCGGCTGACTGCATAAGGGAAGTTTGTACCCCCATTTCAGAATGTTGACCACGAAGGGATCCTCCAGGAATGTCCAGCTGGGCCGAAAGATCCCCAATCTTCCGCCTACAGGTGTGGGATGGATCTGGACGACTGGGGACGGAAGGTCCCAGTCGTGGAAGTCCGATGCCTCAGCGGCGTTTATATTGTGGCTTGGTGATGGCAAGGGGCTTACCTCTCTTGCCTGGGTCACCACTGGTAGGTCGTCCCTTGGTTTGCCTGAATTTGCCAGCCCGGCGGACACAGGTGCGCTTGCCAACATAGGAGTTGGCCTTGGGCGCTGAATTTGTCTTACAAATGGCTCGAAAAGACTTGAGGGCTATCTCCGTCGTTGTAAAGGTCGAATGTTCCTTATAGATCCCCCTTATGGCATCATTGAACAGGCACCGAGCAGAAAAAGGCTGACGAAGCAACTTTCTTGTGAACTCCGGTTCCCAAGCACATGCCGAGAGAAAACCAGATCGTCGCACTGCCGTGGTATTAGCCAACGCTACTCAAACATGACCAACAATGTCCCCCAAAGTGCGAGATTGCCATCGCATCATTGTCGTGAGATGGTCGATCCTTGAACCATTATCTTCCTCCAAATCCTGAGAAATGGCCTCCGTAGCCTAGGCCAGGGCAGACAAGGGACGTAGCATTCTTTTCAATTCCGTATCAATAGCAGCCAACTTGGAGTCAGGAACCCTATACGAGGAGATCGTGAACTGCGGCCTGGTCAGAGAAATCCAAGGAGTGAATAGGATAATCACCCCTATGCGCTTTAGCTGCCCTGAAGTTATGATTCAGAGACAACTTAGCAAATTCCTCATCCAGAGAATCAACCAAATCCCGGACAATAGGGTGAGGCGGAAGACGAAGATCGGGTGAGTCCCATATAGTGAGCTTCTTATCCACCCCTGCAGCTGGAGAAGGGCAAGAAGTCTGAAGTCTATCCGCCATCCAATCAAACACTGCCTCAATGCCTAAATGAGTGTCGGAATG